TCCATATCTAGTATTTTAAGACTCTATCTAGTATTCAGGAATCATCTTGGGCTTGCTTGAATCTTGAATAGAATGTTTATCAAATCATATCTTGGGCTTCCTTGAGTCTTGAATGTTGTTGACTTGAATCATCATCTCTTGGGAATGTAGGGACATGTTTCACATTACCATCAATCTCCCCCTCATTGCTTTCATATATTTGCTTAGTGAGAAAAGTGAAGTATTTGAGACCTTTAAAATTTTTAAAGCATTAGTAGAAAAACAAACTGGTACCTTTGTTCAAATTTTACGTACAAATAGGGGGAGAATGAACCTCTAGGGAGTTTGTTGATTTTTGTTGAGAGCAGGTATTCAAAGATAACTCACTGTCTCATACACACCACAACAAAATGGTGTAGTTGAGAGGAAGAATCAGACCATTATAAGTATGGTTCGAAGTGTTTTGATAGAAAGAAAAGTTCCACGATCCTTTTGGCGGCTCGAAGCTGTAAATTGGGTGTTCATATCTTGAATAGAAGTTGAACTCTTACAGTAAAAAATATCACACCCGAAGAAGCATGGAACAGATTTAAGCCATCTATTTCTTAATTTAGAATTTTTGGTTGCATTGGATTTGTTCATATACCTGACCAAAAAAGAGCAAAGTGGATGAAAAAAAGTATTAAATGTGTGTTGTTGGGTATAAATGAGGAGTCTAAAGCCTACCAACTATATGATCCAATTAATAAGAAAATTTATATCAGCAGTGTGTTATTGGGTATAAGTAAAGAGTCTAAAGCCTACAAACTATATGATCCTATTAATAAGAAGATTCATATCAACAGGGATGTCAAATTTCAAGAGGATGCTGCTTGGGATTGGAGTGAAACAGAAACCAGTAGAATGATTGATGCTAGATCTGTGGAAGAATTTTCTCAAGTAAATGAGGGAGTATTCCAAACAAACTTGAATGATAATGCAACAACAACCACCAATACAACAGAGATGGACTCAACCTACTTCTGATTCTCCAGCAAGAGCCCTTCCCATTGAAGGGAGGGCTAGAAGACCACCAACCTGTATAAATTTTGCAATGTTTGCATGTGCAGATCCAGTAACATACAATCAAGCATCACAGAGTCAACATATCCTTGATATATTTCTTCTGTCCAATAAAAATTCCGTCACAATTATGCAAAACTTCAATACCAAGAAAGTATCTCATCTTGCCTAAGTAAGTCATAATAAACTCATTTATCATCATACTTTTAAACTCTATAAACATTCATGATTACTTGTGTATATCAAATCATCTACATAAACACAAACAATTAAGAGTGCACCTTTCTCCTTCCTTTTCACAAATGTGTGTTCATGTGGGAATTTTAAAAAATCATTAGCTACAAGATAAGAGTCCAATCTACTGTACCAAGCTCTAGGAACATGTTTAAGACCATATAGGGCTTTTCTAAGTTTGTATACCTGATGTTCACATCCCTTAGACACATAGTCCTATGGTTATTCTAAGTATACATCTTCGTTTACTGCCTCATGTAAGAAGGTTGACTTGATATTAAACTGATAAATGTTCTAATGCAACAACAGTGCTAATGGTTTCCAAACGAGTTACTGATGCAAAAATCTCGCTATAATCGATGCCCTCTTCTTGAGTGTATCTTTTTGCTACTACTTTATCTTTAAATTTGTCAATCTCCCATGTCTCATTCAATTTTGTCTTGTAAATCCACTTGACATTTTTGCTACTACTCTGTCTTTAAATTTGTCAATCTCCCATGTCTCCTTCAATTTTGTCATGTAAATCCACTTGACACATGTAATTTTGCAATTTGGTGGTCGATTAACTGGCTCTTATATATCATTTCTTTGAATGGTTTGAAATTCAGCATCTATGACATCTCTTAAATGTTGACTCTGTGATGCTTGGTTGTATGTTACTGGATTTGCACCTGCAAAATTTATAGCATCTTCATTAATTAAATCATCATCAGTGACATAAACTTTCATCTAGGTTGATGGTCTTCTAGCCCTCCCTTCAATTGGAAGGGCTCTTACTAGCGAATCAGAGGTAGGTTGAGTCCATCTATGTTGTATTGGTGGTTGTTGTTGCATCATCATTCAAGTTTTTTTGGACTACTCCCTCATTTGCTTGATGAAAATCTTCCACAGGTCTAACATCAATCATTCTACTTGTTTCTCCTTCATTCCAATCCCAAGCAACATCCTCTTGAAATTTGACATCCCTCTTGATACGAATCTTATTAATAAGATCATATAGTTTGTAGGTTTTAGACTCCTCATTTATACCCAACAACATACATTTAATACTTTTTTCATCCAGTTTGCTCCTTTTTTGGTCAAGTATATGAACAAATCCAATGCAATAAAAAATTTCGAAGTAAGAAATAAATGGCTTAAATCAGTTCCATGCTTCTTCAAGTGTGATATTTTTTACTGCAAGAGTTGGACTTTTATTCAAGATATGAACCATTCAATTTACAGTTTATTTTTCTACTAATGCTTTAAAAATTTTAAAGATCTCAAATGCTTCACTTCTCTCATCAACAAATATGCCCATACTTTCTTACTAAAATCATCAGTGAAAGTGAGTATGTACCTTTTATTCCCATTAGATGTAGGATTGATGGGGCCACATATATCAGAATGGACTAATTTCAATACTTGAGATCCATGCCAATTGCGTTGACGTGGAAAATGATCTCTTTCACATAGTTGAGTTGGAGACTTTAAGGTAGGCATCCTTTCACCATATCATGCTTTAACAAGGTTTCCAATCCACTATAACTCAAGTGACCATAACGAGAGTGTCAGACTTAAGCTATTTTTGGCTTTGAACTTAATTAAAAGCAATGGTAAGAAACTCTAGATTTTACAAAAGTAGCAAACATGCGATTAGTAGTCGTAGATGTTTTAAATATCAGACTCTCTCCTTGAAACAATTCACACTTATTTTCTTTCATTTCAATCCTTAATCCTTCCTCCAAAAATTGACTCACACTAAATAGATTATTCTTTAATTCAGAACATAAAATACATCCGTAACCACATGCATAACTTTATTAATTAGCAATTTAACCGCACCCTTCCATGTCACCTTTAAATCATAGTTATTCTCCAACTTCACTTCATCAGACAAAAACAGAATCCATATAAGAAAACTAGTCATTTCTACCTGTCATGTGATTGTTGTAGCCTGAGTCAATAAACCACATATCTTGTGTAATTGATTTCGTTGGAAGTTGTGCCATAAGTAACACGACTTCTTCACCGGATAATTTGCTCTCCTATCCTGAGGCTTCTTTGGACATTCATATTGGAAGTGTCCGAACCCATGATAGTAGTAACACTCTATTCTTTCCTTATTCATAAATTGTCTACTTCTTCTCCTTCTTCCTCTTGCATATGCTCCTTGAAAAACACTTCTTCCATGTCCATTGTCAGTAGTTACTTGCTGCTGTGAAATCTTCAATACTTGCTCTTCATGAGAATTGTGCTCATTCATTCTCTGCTCATGCACTAATAAACTACTTTCGAGTTCATCTATAGTCATGGAATCTAAATCATGAGATTTCGTAATGAAACATAATACATAATCGTACCTTAAAGTCATTGAACGAAGAATTTTTTCAATAATAATAAAGTCAGATACCTGTTCACATTACATTCTCATTTTGTTTGCAATTATGAGAGTTGCATTCTCATCTTGTTTGCAATTGTGAGAGTCCGAACAAAGTAATCATTAATTGATTAATTATTCTTCATCTGCAGAATCTCACATTTGCGTTGTAGAGCATGTAGTTGAGCTTGTTTTACCCTCGCATTGCCTTGATATTTATGTTTCAATAAATCCCAGATCTCCTTCGACGACGTTGCCTTCTTTAAGATTGTTTCAAGCACAGTTCTATCAATAGCTTGAAACAACTAGTTGTTCACCTTTAACTTCTTTAATTTTAATTTCACCTTCAACCCCTCCAGAGCATGATAAGATTTTAGTACTCTTTTGACCTTGGGAAATTTTTCATTAGCAAATAGGAAATTTTCCATTAGCAAATCTGCAGTGGAAGTTGAAACAAACTCCTCCAGAGCATGATAAGATTTCAGTACTCTTTTGACCTTAGAAAATTCTCCATTAGCAAATCTACTGTGGAAGTTAAAACTGACTCTGATAACAGTTGTTATCTCATAATACTCATGTTACTTATGTTATTTCTTTGTAAAATATATAAATTTAGTTTTACCACTGATGAACTAGAAAAAAAAAAGATAAATCCTACCTATTAACAAACTCCCACATACTTACATATTGTATACTAACATCGTATGAATCGTTCAAAATTTGAACTAATTATAAAATTGAAACTACAACATGTTGGGTAATTAAGATTAGGGTAAATATGTAACTAGTGACTATCATTTTTCTATTTAGAAATTATTTTTAATGTTTATTATCTTAATTAAGATTCAAAATTGAAACTACAACATGTTGGGTAATTAAGATTTTTTTCTTAATTATTTTTTAATGTTTATTATCTTAGTGAAATAATAAAATACTTAGAAATTTGGATTGATTCAAAATTTTATAGACGCCAATTGGTATATTATTTTTCCTATAAAATAGACTCTTACTAGTCAAATCTATAGTTTGCGTTGCCTCTTAATAATCTTGACATTATGTTAAAATTAATAATACTTGGGGGAAAAAATGATCGACCCGCGCTCAAAAGGTTTCTGGATCCGTTCATGATAACTATCACACGGATATAACTTCCTCATGTTTCAATGCTCACACAAATAACATTGCAACAATTTGACATATATGTTACAACAGATTTACAAAGTGAACATAAAAGGAACCAAGTCGCTTTTCAACGGCCAAAACGATAACAAATTTTATGCGATGACAAACAAACACTGCATCACACACATTTTATATATATATATATATATATATATATATATATCCTCTATACCTCCACAAATGTTTATGAAGAAATTAGATTTTGCTCCTCGGTTTTAGCCAACTTTGCTCGTATAAGTTTGTCTAATATGGGAGGCTCCAATGGAACTGGATCTAGACACCGTTCTGCGGTAGCAACAATCACCTATGCCCAAAAGATTAAAAAAAATCAAATATCTACTAGAGAAGCACAAGAAATTAAGAGTTAAGAAGCTAGGGCCACTACTGAACTTAGAACACGGGTAAAAAAGAAACTGTAAACTACGGATAATTCTTATTAGAAAAATGTGCGACATCATGAAAACAATAATTTCAGTTTTTCCTACCTCATCTAGCAAGAAGTCGATTGCAGCTTCATCTTCAACTATTTCCCTTAAAGGGATCCTTAGGAACTGGATATCTACTTGAATTTGCTGAAATCCACTTCGATTAAAAGTTTGAAGTCGGACAAATTCTTGAAAACTTTTAAGGCACAATTTAACCAAAGTTGTAACAACAGACTCCTGCGGTTCGTAAGGAAAATCATATCATGGCTCCCAACCAATTATTTAACTTTAAAATCAAATATAATAATCACACAATACCTGTGTATATTCTACTTTTGTGAAAATTTCAACTTTCTGCTTAAACAATTTTGCCAGATGCGTCTCCAAAAGCTGGCTCCTTGCCCTTTGAGTATTTGACCTACCCAGTTTCTCCTCCCGTAATGGATTGCTCCTTGATGAAGCACTACTTCCATTACTATCAGTTCTGTGATGCTTGCGTCTACCATGAGGTAAAATTTGCTTCACTTCCTTGACTATAACTTCAAGCTGGAACAAAAATAAAATAAAGGAGATTAAAATTCCCTCCAGTATGCTTCAATTAAAAATAGTCAACCTCACCAAATGGAATAAGATTTTTACTAATTAATTACCAAACATTTTCATCACACATAGAGATATAAAGCTTCATGCTCATTCATTGTATTCCAGATAAGCAAAATGTAGTATGACTAGTATTCAATTACAATGCTTAAACCATTCAACGCAACTTAAAGACACAGGCCAGAGCTGTTGATTTATATATACAGATATACTAACCTCTTGAAGAAACAAATCAACAAACATATGAACTTCTCTTGGCTCCTTATGCTGTATAAAGAAAAGAAAAAACTTCAGATTCAAGCTCTTCCAATGATAACCAATCGCCAGTCTTCTCAAAAAGGCATATAACAGACAGACCTTAACCCAATTAGGGGTGGTAAACCTCTTCTTTAGGAGAAATGATACCCTCTGAGTTCTCATATTTACGTACTGAAAAGAATCAAAGAGTAAATGTAAACGCTGTTTAATTTGAAATATCTATAAATAATAACAAAAATAGAGGACTAGGGACAGAACAGGAACAGATAACTGGAGATTAAATATCCTCCAAAGCCATAACACCCAAGAAAAAGTACTACAAAACAAAGAAAGTGAAGTGAAGCTTGCTTCACTTGCAAAACAGGAAAGAGTCCCTCAAAAGAAACCATCCCAGAACATCAGAGCAATGTCTTACGCGAACTATCCGTCCCTAACAAACTCAAAGGACAACCAAATATTCTTAAAAAACATGAACATTTTACAATCAAATGGACCATATAACAATTCCATCGGGCTATAAAGTCTTCCACCAGTCAAATAATAGCCAAGGTAAAAGTCAATAAAAGCCAGTCATGAAATTAATTAAAACTGCTCAAAACTCACAGTTACCAACATTCTCCAGGTAAAATTAACTGACATTGTAAAACTGAACAGGCAGCTAAACTAGTCAGTTCATGAGAGAAAACTCAAAATACATAATGTAACAATAATATCATTCACATGTTTTCAACGTGATTGTATTTCACATGAATCAGGCATACTTTAGGTAAAATATTAAAATCAAGCTGAAAGACACCAAGCAAGCATATATGCATAAGAATGAGTGACATACATACAAGAACAATATGTGTCACAGAATTGCAACTCCATTGGAAAGAAAATATGAACTTAAAAACGTACCAGGTGCAGGAACTTTTCACCAGCTGACCGAAATTTTCGACATATTTCTCCAGGAACAAAGGCAGGTCCAGATTCATGGCCTCTAACGCTACCACCAGAAAAGGAAGTAGCTACTTCCTGAATATTACAAGGAAAAATTAATGGTATACCCATGGGATATGGAACAAAAATTAACCACAGAAATTGAAATTTCGGGAATTGAATGTAAGTCTATCAAGTGATCTCTTGCCTCGGTGACTTTTGGGATGACAGTTTGTTCAATGAAAGCAGACAATTGGGCCAGCACTAGGACAAGGCCAGTAAAAGCTTTATCCCCTTGAGCTCCCTCTGCCAAACCGTGTGCTTGAATGGATGGGTTACTTCTACCTGAAAACTGAAGGAACTGATCCTCTAGTTGCCTAAAAAAGTCTTGAAGTCCTTCTTGAACCCAATCAATGATTAACTCTCTTAATCTAAGTAAGATCCCAGAATCATCATCTAAAATTTTGCGAAAATCCTGAAGGCGAGGATTAAATGTAAATGAAATGACATAAAACAGAAATAAGAGAAAATCTTTATAGCAATCCGTATACATAATTTCATATAACCTTGGATAGATGAATCTAAGCATACAAAAATGCTTACCATCAAGATATTCATGCTTCCTTGGAGAACTGCTTTTGTACTTGCATCAAGAACAACATCAAGAGATGACTGCTCTGATCCATCCTTTTTCAGTATTTGTAAGAGGGAGCCTACCCAACCGATACTAACTCAGCACATTTATGAAGACAACTTTCTAAAATTTTTCCCGTAGCTAAAATCATGTAAATATCTAATAGAGCTATTTTGACTAGTGAGAATCAGCAACAGCATAATTCTTAGTATTCTATGCTTCTGAGCATTGTCAAAAACAATCAGTCACGTTGGTGCAAATGATCAAAAAAAGATTTTTAATTTCTTGATTCTCCTATTGTGTGCGGAAGAAAATATTTTAAATTTTAAGCTGAAACCTTATATCAGAAGCATTCTGAATATAAGTCAAATAACTAACCTGAGATGTCTTGCAGAAGATGAGAAAATATACTTCTAACAAATGACGTGACAACAACCTTTGCAGACTGAAAATATTTAGGGTTAGTTGTTTGAAATTGACTTTGTAATGATTATATTCTAAAAATAGGGGAAAGGGAAGGATTGAATAACTACAACTTAAACAAGGATTAATGGATAACCTCAAGAGAATGGCTAGAAAGAGCCGCTTCCTGCAAGACTTCATCTATCAAGAGCACATCATTCCAGATAACTCCTGTAATTACAAATTTAAAGAAATCATAGTCAGGTCTGGAAGAGGGAAGGGTGGTTTAACAATTGCTCATCTATTTCATTTTAACTGTCTGAAGTTTGAAAGATTTTTGTTTTTATATAACTTCTATCTTCAAATTTCAATACAACATTAATTGCTCTTTTGTCATTAATAAGTTAAAAGTTTTAATTATCATACATAACACAATCTATGAGATGGGTAGCCATAAACAAATGGAGATATTAACGAGTCTCTCTTTATGTTCCAAATATATCATCTAAAAGACATGATTAAAAAAACACTCCATTGCAATAAATGATATCCAAAAAGAAAAACCACATGAATGCGTACAGGCAGCACTTAAAAGAGAAAAAGTGGATGCATCCACCAAAAGTATAGACATTTTCAATACATTCAGGGTGGGTTTGGGTAAGCAACTTAATTTAAGAGTCGATCAAGTAAGAATTTATGTATTAGTTGTTTCTATAATTGTAGAATAAGTAAGTATGGTTAAATTGATTTCAAATAATTTAATTTTCATAAGTCATCCTGGAAAGCATATTGAAATAAGCTGAAAACAACTTATGGACATATCAAATACTATTTTCATAAATTCTACCATACACTGATACAAGTATTTAAATAAAATCCATGCATATAAAAAATGAAATTAGACCAAAAAACAAATGCTATTTTTCTGTATAAAATTAAATATCATGTAATAGGCATGGGTCAATGGTAATTGGCTCATATATATAATGCAGTACTGAAAGTAAAAGACATATAGCCATAGAAATCAAGTATTTTTCCAGAATTAAAAATATACACACAAAAAAACAAACTGAGATACTAGAAAAGTTATACAACGTACGAAGGACACCAAGTAGATATTCTGGACCAATCCGTGACTTTACATATTCCTTGGCAATAATGAAGTTCCTAACATACATTAAAAAAAAGTTTGTACATTATACAAATTTAATTTAATGTAAATAAAAATGTTTCCTGTGGCAAATAAAGATACGAACTTGGTAGCCAAGTCTTGAGCAAGTTTAACCAACTCTTCATCAGAATCAGGAAATATGACTCGAAATGCACAAACTGCCTCCACAAATTGATGAATAGCTGCCTACATTAAGAAAAGGGAAAAATAACAGATCCTAATTCACCAATCTCATAACATCAGTTACAAGAGCAAAGATACATACAAATGGAAGTAAATTAGGCTGATCAGAATGGAAAAAATTGAATTGGATAGAAACAGTAATAATATTTCATTCATCAATTCTCTTGGCAGATTATTTGACTTAACCATTCATGGACATTGAAGCAATCATCAGTTCTTTTTTATTTCCTGTTACTGACCAGCTCATCAACATTACTTTTGGCACATGACAATAGCTGATTTTATAGCTACTTGCCTAAATACATCTTCTCAAATGATGTTTATCTTCTACAAGAGTGTAACCCTCAGAGTGTTGTGCATTGCCTCACAGAAACATTGTAGACCCCAAATCTTGCCCAGCCTCATAATAAAGACCAGAAGACCTTCTATTCGAAGATGGACGAAGCCTAAGAAGCCACTAGGAGAGACTAGTGGACCCCATACTAGGATAGGAGGGATTTTCTGCATGTAAATAAGGATTTTCGCCTTTTAGGGTCGCGACCGCCGTCTCGTATTCGGGACCGCCGTCTCGCCTTGCGAAAGTGGCGAGACCGCCATCTCGTTTTCCGTCTCGCCACCTGCGAATGGCGAGACGGCCCTCCCGGTTGGCGAGACGGCCGTCTCGACCTTTTCAGACGAGACGGCCGTCTCGACCTGACAGGCACGAATCCCTATAAATAGCCGCGCCATTCCCCTCATTTCACACAGTTCTTCCATTCTCTCTCTAGTCACTTCATAAAATTCTCTTCCTAGAACCCCTCCGAAGCACTTCCGGAGTTTTCTGAGAGTTTCTAAGAGTTTTTATAGCGTTTTTGAGAGGTTTCCGGCGCTGCAGAGAGCGAGGGGCTGCCAAAAAGTACCCCAATTTTCAAGAGATTAATATAAAGCTTGTCTCGGAGGTTTCTACACTCTCTCTCTCTCTTTACTGCTTTATCTTTAAATTGCGCAATAGATATTAGGGTCATGTAGTCGTAACTTTAAATTCCGTAAATAAAGGGTAAAAGCGTATTTTCACCGGTTTACTTATTTAAATAGCTGGCTCATCATAGGGAACTCGAAAGGGGCGTCGTAAGGGAACTAACACTTCCCTTACACGTAACTAACTCCCTTACCCAACTCTGGTTCTAATGACCAAAGTTGGTTTTTTCAAAAACCAACGCCTTTTCACTCCTTTTCCGATGGCGACTCCAGAAGAACCCTTCAAAATTAGTTCTTGGGTTAGTCCGGTTATCGGACAATCCAAGAACACCTTTTCGAAAACCTCGCCCCTAGGTTCAGCCCGGTTATCGGACAACCTAAAGGCGTTGTAACCACACCAATAAAAACGCGAAAATTGGAAAGTCAGAACCATCGCGTCGCTCCGACCGCCTCGTTTTGACGGTGGCGACAAACATCTACATCTATATCTTGCTTAATTTTTTCGTTTTTGGGTGAAGAATATCTTGCTTAAATTTGTGCTTTGGCACATACATAAACTCATTGCTGTTTGTCATCAACATCTTAAGAAGCCAAAGATACAATAGTAAATTAGTAATATGAGACATCAAGGGGTAAGAGAGAAGAACAATAAACAAAAGGATAATACTTTGGTACTAGTTACCTCGTGAGCAGAACAGTCCCCAAAAACATTGCTTATTTCTACAGGGTTCAATTGAATGCCTGCAATAGATTGTTCTAACTTTTCAAATAACTTGGTCTTCAAATTGTTAACCTGCCAATAAATTGAAAACCTAGCATCATACAACATTTATTAATAACAGTCATGAAAAATATGATGCTATTTCTCTTTAAAAGGTAGTGAAACATGGGGGATGCTCAATGCTCTCCATAAAACGCCAAAAAAAAAAAATCATTATGGGGAAAATTCTTCAATACTAAAATTCAGAAAACAATTACTAGCTAAGCTGATAATATCCCATTATCATAACTAAAATGAAAAATGCAATTCTTCTATTTATAAAAATGTACAAACCGGAAAATCCAACTGCTTAAGAAGCACTGCTGCATCAGCTCTCACTTGTATTGATTCAGAATCTGAAAATAGCTTCCCCTGGTTAGATAGAAAAATGTCAAATCATGATAACAAGCTTCTATTTAAAACAATGAGTGTTACTATTCAGTAAAACATTAGAGATGTATGATAATACTAACCAATTAAGCATTTTAAGTTTTACCGTGTTTGGAAGACCAGATTAGAATGGTGGATAGGGTAAGCTAATCCTATCCAATTTTACTATGAAATCAGTCACTAAAAAAGATAGCATCTTAGCTGTCCAAAAATGGTTGATTTTACAACTTAACAACTAAATAACCGGTGGTTAATTTTCCATGCCCAAAATAATATAAAAAAGGAATAAATAAGAAATTCAGTGTCACCTGAATTACATTTTAGTGTATGATTCATGTCCAAAGAGTCTGACATAGATGACAGAATTATACCTGCAAGTTTTTTATTATGATAGCTATTGCTTCTTCAGAAGCTTGCTTACAATCCTGGAAAGATGAATCTCCATATGCCTAATAAAGAAGGGAAAAACCAAGACATATCATCTAAGACCTGGATTAAGATGTTGAGTGTAAAAGTAATAAAGGGATTGAATCAGAAACTATACAAGCCAAGCACAACCTTAAAAATTGGCATTGCTCCAGTATAAAACTTGACTGCATCTGCGTATGCCTCCGACTTGATGCACTTGCCTAGTCTATCGGGTAGATCATATATGAACTACTCTTCAACAAAGGTGAAAAGCATGTCAGACATATTCAACTTCCACTATAACCACTAACTGATATATGGAAACATGAATATATTAGTGATGCAAAGCCAGAATTGAGAAATATGTACACTTTAATAATTAATACCTGAACTTTACGAAGAAGATTACAAGTCCGATGTAACTTCTCAATATGTTCCCTTTTGTCAAATAGAGAAGTGTTGACGCTGTCACTTCTTGACTGCACAGACATGATCTGCATTCGAATAAAATGTGGACTCCAATCAAACTCCCTTTCTTGCTCTTTTCATTTTGATTCTAATATCGTCAATAAAATTGGTATGCTACGGTTACCTTCTCAAGCAGCTGTTCCATATTCGCCTCCATCCCTGAAATGTTACTCTTCATCCTGTTTGAAAAGCACGCATTAGATGCAGACAGTTTTGACACAATAGAGCAAGAGAGCGAGGGTTATATGCATACATGCCTCTTTATAGTGTCAGTGGCACTGATGAACTTGTTGTAATTCTCGTAGACTAGCATTTGCAAGTCGGTGTCGAGATTCTTGATTTCAGCTGCCATTTCAACGTGGCGTTGGAGCAGCCCTTCCAAATTGCACTTGTACGCCTGCATAATTCATTGATTGAATGAAATCGAGTGAACATTCAAATTCAAGTCAATTCAAGTTCGTGTTCAGCGATGAGAGTGATTAATTGACGGAGAAGGATAAGATTTTACCAGGATATTCATGTACTGATCGGGATCGAAAGAGGTGGAATTGATATCGTCAAGGGAAGCGTGTTTGGAGTTGGTGTTGGAGTTGGAAGGGTCTGGGGAGTAGAAACTCGATAACAGATCTCTCATCCTCTTCGCTTTGTCGTCCATTGGTACTTCATCGGCCCCCATTTTTGTCCCTTTCTCTTCTCGTTTTCCTCAGCTGTGTCAGTTGAACTAAATCGCTTCTCCCTCCGATCTGTGATATGTAGTGAAAGAGGTCTGTGATGTTTCTTGCAAGTTGAAATGAAATGACCATGTTCAAGGTGAATGGAAACCAGGCTTACAGAGCTCCTTGGCCCATGTCTAGTTGAGCTGGGCTGACTATCAATTTGGACCTCAATTTCAACACTGCTCTGGCCCAGTTTGCTTATCCTCCTGAACTGATTAAAGCAAAATTAATACCAGTTCAGTTCCATTTCGTGTTTTCACTTTTCTTTCAGTGGGAGGAAAAAGACTCACTGATATACACTACTAACACGTTACACGTTATATTTTTACGTGATTATTGAAAATTAAATAATTCATTATATTTTTTATCTCTTTTATTATTATAATTTTTATTTTATCTTTCTTTAAATATTTCTTCACAAGTTATTTAAAATAAAAAAATAATTAAACTTTAAAAAAATTATATTTTAAATTAATTTAAAATATATTTTTTAAATTAAATAATAATATAATCTAATCTAAAACTAAATAAAATATTTAGTTTATATTTAAATTGTTTTAAATTAAATTAAATTAAAATATTTTAAAAGTTAAAAACAATCTATAATATATTTGTTGATACGAAAATTAATTGATTATGTGAATGTCGATCTAATAATGTATTAAATATAAAAAATGAAAATTAAGTATTTATTAAAAATAGTAAACTATATATATTTATTTAATTAAATAAATTATTTATAATTTTTAAAATAGTTATCTTAAATTAAAATATATTAAATAATTTATTTTATATTAAATATATATTTTATTAGACATAAATTAAATTATATTATTATTTAAAATAAATTTATGAATATATTTAAAATTATGTAAAAACATAATTTAGAAAAAAAAAAGTTTCTTGTAAGAAAAAAAAAGCATGTCAGATAAGAAAAAGTTTAATAAATTATTACAAGATAGGTACATATCACGTGTTAGTCTTTTATACATGCAGTCTTTCTCCAAATGGGGGATATTTCATGCCTTAAACTTGTGAGCCTGGTCTGAAAAAACAGCTAGCCTTTCATCCCAACATTATAATATTTCAATGGAGGAGGAAAATAACTAAAAAAAAAGTTATTTAATAAATAATTAAATATTAGAAGATTTTTTTTTCATAGCTTTAGGATTTATATAATTTATAGGGCATTCATAATCCGAGACCTCTATCTATCCAACACCTTTCCATTAATATTTATATTTTATATTATTATTATTATTATTATTATTACTATTATTTATTTATTTATATATGAATTTCACCTGTTACTTATTCAATCAATCAATAACAAAAACTATTTATATTTCGAAAATATTTTATTTGGAGATGGTGATGATGTAAATATATGATGTGCTTTTAATCCAATTAAAACTGAAGAATGGCCTTAGGTAATCTGTTTGGCCCTGAACTTATGTGTCTATGGTTTGTTTGTCAAAAACAATTTGTCCAATATTTAACTGAGGTTGAACTAGGCCAACAGTAAACCTAGGTGAAGATAAAAACACTTGGTAGTATTTAGGCAAAAAAATTTACTCAAAATAATTGAATAATATATATATATATATATATATATATTAAAATTATTTGTGATATAAAATTATATTATATAAAATTATTAAAAATTAAAAATTATTCATTTATATTTAATATTAACAAAAATAAATAATTTTGAAATTAAATATATTTTAATCATGTTGATGATGTTTTTTATTGTAAAAATTATTAATTATTATATACTTTATATTATAAATTATTTAATATTATTTATTGAATTTAAATTTAGTAAACTAAAATTTATTTTATCTTTTCTCTTAAAAAAATGAATATATAATTATTTTTCATAAACATCTCTAAAATTAAACTTAATCTTTTTTTATTTTAATATCAAAATTCAACATCATAAATATTAAAATAAATAATTGATAATAAATATGAAATATGATAATATTATAATAATAATAAAAAAAATATATATATATATATATATATATATTTTAATGTGAAAATTAAGGAGAAAAACTTATAATTTTATATTATAAAACAAAAGTGTGAAAAATAAAAATATGAAAGTGAATAAATAAATAAAATAAAAATATAAAATAAAAGATGAATATTTAAAATTAAATTGAAAAGATAAAATAAAAAGATGAAAAAACTAAAATATTATTATAATATTTTATAAAAACTATAGTTAATTTTTATATTAAAAAAATTATTTAATTTTTATAATTATATATATATATATATATATATATATATATATATATATATTACAATTCTGGGACGTGACAAATAAAGAAAAGAAAAGAGAAAACTAAAAGTAGAATCGTCTCTTTAAAATGAATTGGTGGGCTAACTAATTTTTTAAAAAGTTCAATAAAAATGCACGTTAAATTTTTTAAATAATTTCAATTATTTAAATAATTATTAATTTGATAAGTTAATTAATATTTTAATAATGTTAAAGAGACATAATAAAAGTTGGAAGTCTATCGTTTCTTTTTTCCTAATTTATAAGTTTTAATAGAAATTTGACGATTTATAAATTATAAATGTCAAAAGAAATTTTACGTTAGAAAAACATGAATAACTAAACACACAAAAAGGAAATAAATTGAGTTTGTAAAAAAAAAATTTAATCTAATCAATTATTTAAATATTTCTTTATCAAATTGAAAAGGAATTTAAAATGTGTTAAGGTTTCAAGAATACTAACATAAAGAAGAGAAAGATGAGAACAAAATAATGTTATAGTGGTTCGATTCTTTTAAATTTAGATTCAGTTATTTAAACAACCTTAACTTGAATTTCCATTCAAACATTTTAATATATAGATTACAACATAACTTGCAGATCTTGAATAATAACACATATATCTAAGAAAAATCACAACACTTGGAAATACTATCACACAATTTTCAAGCTATCTTGAGTTGTTCACCACTCAAACATCAAGGTAGAACAAATATTTACCTAAAACTTTGAAATACAAAATCTTATAGCCAAACGATTTCACCTTTGAATTTTATTTCTCAAAATGTTTTATAGAATCAAAATGCTGTCTTGATGTCCACTAAAACTTTCTTTTACAATGTTTTGATCGTTTCTCAAGATGTGTTTTATTAATGAAAATTTTTCTTCCTTTTCAAGAGCTGAAATATGTTACAACTAATTTAGATAATCGATTAGCAACGAATCTAATCGATTATTTGCATGCATTGACAGACTGAAAGTAAACAATATAATTGATTAGTTACCAACATAATCGATTATTAGTGTGTGATGTTAAAGCATGAGATGTAGTCACATAATTGAGTAAGTGATAATATAATCGATTATTAACCCATAATATGAAAACATGAATTTAAGTCATCTAATTGATTAACACAGATTTAATTGATTCAGTGTGAACATAATTGATTAATTGTTTAAACTTTTTACTTTTTATTTATTTTAAACAAGGATTAAATCATTTGCTTTAATAATAATTACTCACACAATTACCTAACTATCTATTAGGACATCATAAAAAATGATTCTTCAACCATTCTTCATTAACAATCTTCCCCTTTATTATGATGGTCAACCAACATAACATTTTACACAATAATTTTCATTAGCCCTGCAATGAACTCTTCTCCCCCTTTGGACTTAATAAAAAAGGTTAAACATAGAGTGGACGTGTAATAGTATAACCTAATTAAGTACAATATGTTCTCAAATCACATAATAAAGGATTCAAAGTTATATCAGGTATTAGAGTTATAGACCAACAAATTAATATGTCAAATATTACAAATCAGCAAAATTGTTCAAGCAGATTAAACGTATAATTAAAGAAAACAGATTAATCATTCATCATCATTTGAGGATAACTTCACTGTTCCAACATCTTCATCATCACTTCCTTCATCTTCCATTTTTGTACCTTCTTGTTCTTGTAGATGAAATAATTTCTGATAGTGTTTGGGTTTCTAATACAAGATCTAAAAATAATCAGCTTATTAAAATTTTCAAAGTTACGAGTAACATTCTCTCCTCCTATTCTGAAACTTGCAAAATTTTTCCATATTTTCTCATCTAGTTCTATTTCTACCCCTTTAACTTTAGATTGAATAATTTCATTAACAATCTTCATATTGCAATAAAATACTTTAACTAAGTCAGGGTAAAACACCCCATTTAACTCAATAAATTTTTTCTAAGCCTTGATAAATTAACAAGTCTTGAAATAGAAAGGTACTTGTGAGTGATAAGTCTTATCTCTTTTCAATGAATGAGAAACTCCTCCCTTTGTTCATAATCACTTATCCCTCCTTCTACAGAAGTTGTTCTTTGAGGTCTCTTTAAAGTTGTTCTCTTCATTCTTTTTGATTTGGTAGTGAAAGCCATGAAATCAGAGTAATAAGAAGAAGATTGTGGAGAATATGGGTAATAAGAGGATTTCTATGAGTAATGGAGGCTAGGGTTTTGAAGAGAGTGTTGTGTGAAAGTGATAAAGTGTGTAGATGAAGTTGGTAAAGTGTAGTGTACAGAGGATTTAATTAAAATAATTATGTACGTATGATAATCGATTATCTAAGTGGATAATCAATTAATGGCACAAGCACCAAAGTCTGAAAAAGGTCACTTTAATCAATTATATCAGTTGATAATCGAGTATCAGAGCACCTTATAAATTTCTAAAAGTCCTAGTTTAATCAATTATTTTTTATATTAATCGATTACTTTTCCACCCGTGGAGGTGATCTAATCATGTTAAATATTAATCGATTAATTATATCATATTTTATGCATATCAAATTTTAATCAAAGCAATTTATATGTAATGTGCCTAATTCATTTATAATAGTATAAAATCTTTTCCTAGGAAATGGCTTAATAAAAATATATGCTAATTGTTTATTTGTGTTAATAT